CATCGCCCATGACCATCTTCATCCACCCATGACCATCTTCATCCACCCATGACCATCTTCATCCACCCATGACCATCTTCATCCGCCCATGACCATCTTCATCCACCCATGACCATCTTCATCCACCCATGACCATCTTCATCCACCCATGACCATCTTCATCGCCCATGACCATCTTCATCCACCCATGACCATCTTCATCCACCCATGACCATCTTCATCCACCCATGACCATCTTCATCCACCCATGACCATCTTCATCCGCCCATGACCATCTTCATCCACCCATGACCATCTTCATCCACCCATGACCATCTTCATCCACCCATGACCATCTTCATCCACCCATGACCATCTTCATCCACCCATGACCATCTTCATCCACCCATGAGCATCTTCATCCGCCCATGACCATCTTCATCCACCCATGACCATCTTCATCCACCCATGACCATCTTCATCCGCCCATGACCATCTTCATCCACCCATGACCATCTTCATCCACCCATGACCATCTTCATCCACCCATGACCATCTTCATCCACCCATGACCATCTTCATCCGCCCATGACCATCTTCATCCGCCCACGCCCATCCCGTGCGCGGTGCGCCATCCCTCTGTATCTTCTTGCAGTTTGTGACATGTGTCGGTCCTAGCCCAGCGGACCCCCGCACCATCATTGCTGGTGAGCTGCTCTTTTCCCAGAGCCTGCTGATGCATGTGCCTCGTGTGGTAGCCCTTTGCGCCGTGTTGGTTCATCAGTGCTGGTTACATCGGGTAACTCCAGTGGGCCTTGGCATTGGACCGGCCTTTGTGAACCTGGTCAAAGTGTTCCCACTGCCGTGGGGAAACGGCAGGATGGGCAGGTCACAGGAGGCTGGGCTGGTCACAGTAGGATGGGCAGGTCACAGGAGGATGGAGCGCACTCGTTGTGTGGATGCAAAGCTGCAGGCATGCAAAGACCACTTGGTACTTTTGCCAGACATGGATACCAGCTCCAGCACAGCCTTCCGAGTCGGTGCTCCTCACACTCAGCTTCAACACATGCTCTTCTTGCCTTTCTCGAATAGGTGTTTCTTGGCTCACCTGCTCTCCTTCACGTGCCTTCATTTGTGCCACACCAACGCCGGCAATGCTGTCCATGCCCTCATGCGAGCGGTGTCCCTGCACGACTGCTAATCGCTCACCATTTCCTCCTATTCCTCCCTTCCCCCCTTGCCTGCAGGCGGTGGAGATGGCGCCGTGGCTGTGTTTGACTCGCGCATTCACAAGGCTGTTGCCCGAGTGTCCTTGGGGCAAGGTTGCGAGGTGAGGGGGAGGAGTGATGTGACGGGGGGGTGAGGTGAGAGGGGGGGTGAGGTAAGAGGGAGGGGTTGTGAAGTAAGAGGGAGGGATGTGAATTGAGTGGGAGGGTGTGAGGCAGGACGAGGGATGTGAGGAGAGTGGGTGCGGCGAGAGATCAGAGGGGGAGATCGGAGCCTTGAACGGTGTGCTGCTCGCCGCCCCTCTCGCATGCATTCTCCTCGCTGCACATTCTGCACCACTGTCAACTCCTCCCTCCCACCCCCATCTGCCCCAGGTGACATCAGCAGCCTTCAGCCCGTGCGGTCGCTTCTTCCATGCCGCCTGCTCTGCCAACTGCTGCTTCGTCTTTGACTCCCGCTGCCTCCCTCCTCCTCGTCCTGCCCTCCTTCCTCCGCCTCCTCACCATCTTCCCCCCTCTGCGCTCTCTTCCGCCTCTCCCACGGCCTGCCCGTGCCCTCACTGCAGCACTCGGTGCAGCATGCCGGGTGAGAGGAGTGGGAGGGGCAGGGGTAGGGGCGTGCTGTGTGCAGAATGGTGAATAATGCCCCCCATGCCCTCTGTGCAGCTCTCAGTGCAGCATGCAAGGTGGGAGACAAGGTTGGGGGATGTTATATGCGGTGACGGTGCTTGAGGTTTGAAGCATGCTGAATGGTTTATCGTGCATAGCATGGTGCCTGCTGCCCCTCTTTTCTACTCTTTTCCCACCCCATTCCAGTGATCTACCTTTTTCAAAACTGTCTACTTGGTTCTTTTCTGTGTAGATGTAATTCATTCAACGTGAAAGTGTACAATCAATCCTTCACAAGTCAAACATTTGCTATACAAATCCCTCAAAGCCCTGGCCCTCCCATTCCCCCTCCCCTTCCCCCCCTTCCCCAACACGCCGCCCCCAGGTCTGTGGACTGTGGGGACGAAGGGGTGAACGACGCCCGCTGGCTCTCAGCCTCGCCTGGCCTCGTGACAGGCAGTGGCAATGGCAGGTGGGCGAGTGACAGGCAGTGGCAATGGCAGGTGGGCGAGTGACAGGCAGTGGCAATGGCAGGTGGGCGAGTGACAGGCAGTGGCAATGGCAGGTGGGCGAGTGACAGGCAGTGGCAATGGCAGGTGGGCGAGTGACAGGCAGTGGCAATGGCAGGTGGGCGAGTGACAGGCAGTGGCAATGGCAGGTGGGCGAGTGACAGGCAGTGGCAATGGCAGGTAGGCGAGTGACAGGCAGTGGCAATGGCAGGTGGGCGAGTGACAGGCAGTGGCAATGGCAGGTGGGCGAGTGACAGGCAGTGGCAATGGCAGGTGGGCGAGTGACAGGCAGTGGCAATGGCAGGTGGGGCGAAGCCAGGTGGGATCGTCTGGGTCATGATTTTCAGTGGTCACCTGTCTGAACCCTTTCGTGAGTCGTACTTCACTTGTGTCCGTCACCTGTGTTGTTCAGTCCTCACCTTTCATATCTTTACTGCTGCTCATTTTCTTCGCTTTCCAATTTTCTTTAATGGCAGCATGGCTGTATGGGATGTGACTCTAGCTGACCCCCTCACTGCCGTCTCCTTTGCACATACTCGATCAATAAATACTGTAAGCATTCTAATGCATGAAATATGTAAGCGCTTTCTAATACGCCTTTGCAAGCTAATATCTAACAGCATAAGCCCTTGGATAAATGAACAGTGTAAGCTGCTCAATTTGTCAACGCTTAAATCATCTAAAACACTCAGAACGTCTCTTTGCATTTGCATGAGCAATCTCCTGATTTGCTCTTCCGCGTAGGTGGCGGTGGCACCTGATGATGCCTGCATTGCCACGGGTGGCGACGACCAGAAAGTGGTGAGCATGCCTTTCCTGGTCCGCATGGATGTGCCTCCAGACAGAGGTGCTCGCACATCCATGCGGTGTGTGTACACATACCGTACACAGGCACATATACTACTTGTGCATGCACGCCCACACTCATGGACGCACACACCAACAACACGTGCGCAGTCACGCACGCACTTACTGTGACAAACCTCTCTCACTTCAAATGCACGCAACGATTCCAGCCCAACTCCCTCTGGCTTAGTTGCAGTTTCCTTGGCGAAGATAGAAAACGCATATCTGACTCGTCATGAAGGGTACAATGATAATTCTCTCCTTCGACATTCTGCACCTCAATCAAGAGCATGTAGTGTTCCCATCTCCATCTGTTACTCTACCGCCCTTTCCCTCGTCAGGTCCTATATCTGTCGCCGTTGACTGCCTCTCCAGCCTCAACTCCTTGGAAGCTTACACACCCCTTGCGCTTGTCGCCCTTGTTACAATAGTCGTCATACAGAAAACAGTCATGTTATCGTTTTCCCACGTATACGGGACCCAAATGCCAGTTTTTTTTACAGGTGCATATTTAAAGTCCCTAATGTCAAACATGTTTATTGTCATGTTTGTATAGACTGTATAGGGTCATCTCTTAGAGAGTACACGACTTAGGTATATCTGTGTGTACTCTGTTGGAATATCTCAAAGGACTTAAGCGTTTCTGAAGTGTAACACTACACTCGAGGAAGATTACAGGGGGGGTACGCGAGCCAACGGAGGTTACACGAGGGGGCAGACAAAGAACGCGAAGGAACTCGAAAGGTCGCAACTGGAGGTTGCGACTGACAGTTACAACATCGCGGATGGTAACCGAAGCGGCAATTGAGTCGCCTGTGCGACTCGATAACCGCTCCTGCAACTGTATTCTACAACTCCTTTCTTATTTCATATATATTGCTGTATGCTTGTTTCTTTAATCATCACTTGTTCTCATATACTAGTACAAGGGTTCAACTGCCTCAACTTCCGCTGCACTACTCAAGTCTCAATCTTCAACTGGGACTTAGTCTCTGAAAAAGATCCTAAGGGCATTTCTCAGCCCAACATACTCTCACTCTATCAATAACACTTTTCTGATTTTGATATGGTATCACGCGTAGGTTAGGATCCCCCCCCCTACCGCTTCCGCTCGCCCCTCCTAGCCCCGTCGTGCCCCTAGCCCCGTTGCGACCCCCCTAGCCCCGTCGCGCCCCTTCCTGGGCCCCGTCGCGCCCCTTCCTGGGCCCTTGTAGCGCCCCTCCTGGGCCCCGTCGCGCCCCTCCCAGGCCCCGTCACGTCCCTCCTGGGCCCCGTCGCGCCCCTCCTCGGTCCCGTAGCGCCCCTCCTGGGCCCCGTCGCGCCCTTCCTGGGCCCTGTAGTGCCCCTCCCAGGCCCCGTCGCGCCTCTCCTAGGCCCCGTAGCGCCCCTCCTGGGCCCCGTAGCGCCCCTCCTGGGCCCCGTCGCGCCCTTCCTGGGCCCTGTAGTGCCCCTCCCAGGCCCCGTCGCGCCTCTCCTAGGCCCCGTAGCGCCCCTCCTGGGCCCCGTACCCCCTCCTGGGCCCCGTCGCGCCCTTCCTGGGCCCTGTAGCGCCCCTCCTGGGCTCAGTCGCGCCCCTCCCAGGCCTCGTCGCGCCCCTCCTGGGCCCCGTAGCGCCCCTCCTGGGTTCCGTCGCGCCCCTCCTGGGCCCCGTAGTGCCCCCCCCTGGGCCTCGTCGCGCCCTCCCAGGCCCCGTCGCGCCCCTCCTGGGCCCTGTAGCGCCCCTCCTGGGCCCCGTCGCGCCCCTCCTGGGTCCCGTAGCGCCCCTCCTGGGTTCCGTCGCGCCCCTCCTGGGCCCCGTAGTGCCCCCCCCTGGGCCTCGTCGCGCCCCTCCTGGGCCCCGTAGCGCCCCTCCTGGGCCGCGTCGAGCCCCCCCCCCCCCCCCCCCTCCTGGGCCCCGTCACGCCTTCCGGCCCCGTCGCACCCGCCCGGCCCCGTCGCACCTGCCCGGCCCCGTCGCATCAGCCCGGCCCCGTAGCGCCCGCCCGGCCCCGTCGCACCCGCCCGGCCCCGTCGCCCCTGCCCGGCCCCGTCGCAGCCGCCCGGCCCCGTCGCACCCGTCCGGCCCCGTCGCACCGGCCCGGCCCCGACGCACCTGCCCGGCCCCGTCGCACCGGCCCGGCCCCGACGCACCTGCCCGGCCCCGCCGCACCGGCCCGGCCCCGTCGCACCAGCCCGGCCCCGACGCACCCGCCCGGCCTCGTCGCACCGGCCCGGCCCCGTCGCACCCGCCCGGCCCCGTTGCACCGGCCCGGCCCCTGCGCTCGTCCCTGCCCCGGCCCCGGTCCTCCTCACTGGTACGGTTTCCCCCCCCCCCGCCCTGCACTGCCCTGCACCGTACTGCACCGCATTGTACCGCACGGCACCGCACTCCACCTTGCTGCACTGCCCTGCACCGCACTGCGCTGTTCCTGATGGCGGCGGAGCTTCGCTTCGACGCTGAAGGCCAGCCCCTGGAGTTCGAGGCGTGGCTTGCCGACCTCCGCCGTCAACTCACTGGCCAGCGGCAGGATGGCGAACCGCTTTCCGCACACCTTGACGGTACGCTCCCCTGCCCGGACCCCCCTGCTATTTTGCCCGCTGACTCCACCCCCACCGAGCGCGAGTCTACTGCTGCCACTGCCAGTGCGCGCTCTGTCTGGCTTTCTCGCGATGCTGTCGCCCAGCTTGCCATTAGCAACGCCCTTCCCCCGTCCGAGCGCCCTCGCTTTAGGTCCCTCACCACTGCTCAGGCATACTTAGATGCGGTCATCCAGCGCTATTCCACTCCTCCGGCTGCCTCGGTGGGTCGCCTGATCCTCCCGATCCTCTTTCCTGACCTTGCATCCTTCCCTACTGTCTCTGACCTTGCTGCCCACCTGCGCTCGATAGATGAGACCTGGCGCGCTGCCTGCACTGACGCACAGCTTAGAGCCCACCAGCCGCCCATTACCTCTACCCTCTACCTGCTTGCCACCCCTCCCTGACCGCCTTGCTGTCAGCCGCGACCGCTTCCTTAGCATTCACCCGCCGACCTCACCCTCACTGACTTTGTAGACACCCTGACGGTGATAGAGACCCGTCACCGCTCCATCGCCCAGGCGAGCGGTGCCGTGCCGGTCCCTATCTTCAGGGTTGTGGCCCCGCTCAGTGTACCTTCTCCGACGGCTCTGCCGCAGTGGCTGAGACTGCTGCTACCGCGGGGGTGCGGGAGGGGTAGTGGTGGGGTCGGGTCGTCTGGTGCTGGAGCGGACGAGGGGACCCTGCCCAGTCCAGCTGAGCCGCCGCCCCTGCAGTTGCAGCAGCCGCAGCAGTTGCCGCAGTCGCAGCCTTTGCAGCAGCCGCAGCAGCCGTCGCAGACACGGCAGACGAGTGTCCTCCCGCCGGGTGGCCCGGCGCTGGCGGTGGCCCGGGGCGTGGGTGGTGTCGAGTGGTGGCTCTGGCGGCGGACGTTGTCAGTACCAGATCCAGACCGGTCCTCGCCGCGGCTACATTTGCGGTAAGATCGGTCACTCCACTCCCGCTGTTTTCGTCGCCTGGACGACCTCTTTCGTCAGCGCTTCGGCCCGTCGCCAGACCTCCCGGCTGGCACTCATGCTTAGACGTAGTATTCCGATTTTTGACTTAGACATGGATGCCATTGTTGCTACTCTGCATGTGATGTATGCTGATGACTCTAGTGTGCTTCCAGCTTATTACTCACTGTTGCCTAGCGTAGGTGTGTCTAGCGTAGCCTCCCCTGCTGCGTCAGGCGTAGGATCCTCTGCTTTGTGTAGTCTTGGTGCTTCCACCGTCGTTCCGACGCCAGACGCCTCTGCTTCGCTTTCCTTCACCTTGGACTCTGGCGCTTCTCGGTGTTTCTTCCATGACTCCACCACCCTGACGCCGCTTCCTGTTCCTGCTGCTGTCTCTCTGCTGACCCCTTTGGTGGTCCGGTAGTCGCCCGCAGTTCCACCACCCTTCCCTGTCCAGCAGTTCCTTCGGGCTCTCTCACAGGTCTGCATATCCCCTCGTTCTCCAGGAACCTAGTTGGTGTCGGCTGCCTCCAGGACCTTGGCGTCACCACTACGTTCCCTGGCCACGAGCGGTATGCTGTCTGTACCGAGGCCGCCACTGGTGCCCCCTGTCCACGTTCCCCCGGGACCCGGTGTCCGGCCTGTTCACTCTGGATACCGTGACCCCCCCGGCTGGGCCCCCCTCAGGTGGCTGCGTCTACCCAGGTTGCTGCTGCCTGCTCTGTCGGTCCCTCACTCACCCGACTCTCCTTTGGCACCACCGCCTAGGTCACCCTGCGCTCCCGCATCTGCGTCACATGTCCCAGCACGGTCTTGTCCTTGGTCTCCCCGGTTCTCTCCCCGCGTTTCCCTCCTCCCCCGCCCCCCCTTGCACGCCCTGTGTCGAGGGTCGGCTTCGCCGTGCCCCTCACTCCTCCTCTTTTCCCCCTACCGCCGCGCCGCTGCAGACCCTGCACCTGGACGTCTGGGGCCCCGCCCCCGTCTCTGGGCCGCGTCGAGAGCGCTACTTCCTTGTGCTTGTCGACGACTTCACTCGTTACACCACTGTCTTTCCCCTGGAGCGCAAGGCCGACGTGCCTGGCGCTCTCATCCCTGGCTTGTCTCTGCGCGTGTCCACCGCGGTCTCCCTGTCTTGCGTCTTCACTCAGACCGTGGTGGCGAGTTTGCCTCAGTGTCCTTGGTCGCTTTTGTCGTGCGGAGGGCATCACCCAGACGTTCACCCTACCGGACTCCCCACAGCAGAATGGGGTCGCTGAGCGACGCATCGGTTTGGTCATGAAGGTGGCTCGCACCTCCATGATCCATGCCGGTGCACCCCATTTTCTGTGGCCGTACGCTTCTCACTAGCTTAACTTGTGGCCGCACCCTCAGCAGCTGTAGGTTTCGCCGACCCGTCTTTGGACTGGGTCTCCTAGTGACGCGTCTGCGTTCCACGTCTGGGGCTGCCTTGCTCACGTTCGTGCCTCCGGCACGGACAAGCTCACTGCTCGCACCCTTCCCTGCGTCTTCCTCGGTTTTCCCCTTGACGCGTCCGACTGGCACTTTTACCACCCGCCGTCTCACCGTTCTTTCACTCTCGCGACGTCACCTTGACGAGTCCGTTTCCTACTACCGTCGCTTCCCCCACCGTGGTCCCCCTGTTACCCCCCCCCTGTTCCTGGTCACTCCTTCCCCGGTAGTCACTGCCCCTCCTCTCCTCCTCCCCGTCCTGCCCCCTCTGGTGTGTCCCACGTCACCCCCCTTCCATCGGCGGACCCGGTTGAGGAGTCCTCTGACTCTGGTGGCCCTCCTGTGCAGTCCTCGCCGGCTGCCCCTCCCCGTGTCCCCTCCCAGTCCCCTCCTCCACCGCCTCTGCCGCGCTGCAGCCGTCGTTGTCGCTGCCGCCGCCGCCGCCACCGCCGTCGCGGCCCCCGTTCGCTGACTCTGGGGTGCTCGTCCCGGTCGCCCTGGGGGTGGCCCCTCTGGGGGTGCTGGTGTGGAGAGTGCGGTGTAGCCGAGGAGCAGCTTGCGGTCCAGGTGTCGCCGTTGCGCTGCCGCAGCAGCAGTCCCCGCCGGTGTCAGCCCTTCGCCTGCTCCGCCTTCCGTCACCC